TATGTGTGATTGATTAAGCTTAGAACATGCTTTGAAATATGCAATAATTGATGGACTAACGTGGTTTGTCTCAACATGAGAGAACCCACCCAAAGCCGCAGAAGACTCGCACATCTCACAACTCACATGGAAGTGGAAAACACCTGGTTTGTCGAGGAAGCACGCTTTGCTTCCAATGACGCGGAGTAGTCGTCCTAACAATTCACCATACACACCTGCATGTCATGTCTATTTGTAATGTCTAATTCAACGAACCTAACTGACAGCTGACGTATGTCGCCAATGGGTCTTTTCGGGAGTGCCGTGTGCCGCACCATACGCGTGTGGTGTGTGTGTGTGTAACCTTTGGACTCACAAGGAGCCTTTTGGCTTTTATTACTTTAAACATTGCAGGGGGGCAGTCCCACTTTGCATCAATCGAATGCCCAATGAAGAGGGCTGCAACAGTGGCTGAAATCTTGATTTCGGACGCTTCCCAGACGCTGTCTTGTCTTCAATTCCTCAATGGGCCCTGCTTTTGATTAGAACAATAAAAGGAGGCCGCCTTGCCTCCGTTTTTGGCGCACTCGCCCGCTCTCGACTTTCGAGACCCATTTTGGAATGTCTGGGATTTTCCTGATGTCTGGAACTAACAAACTTTTGGAACTGGAACCTGACACCTCAGGATCATTGGGCCTTGTTTTACTTTGGTTTCTTTTTCTTACAGCTTTTTCAGGGCTTGGTCCGGAGCCTCCCCTCGAAGTTGGCCCTGGACCTTTCAGGAGTCTAGTACCTTGCTCTGGAATAAACCAAAAAGAAGAAAGGAGCAGGAGCAAGAAAAGAACAAGAAGAAGAAGAAGAAGAAGAAGCAAAGGAAAGAAAAAGGGCACAAGAAAAAGAAGACAACCCAGGAGACATAACATAAGCAACAGGAAAAACAAGAAGCATTGCAGTGCGAGGATGTTTGCCCCCATAACACCTTATGGATTTGAACGTGCAGCAGTATCACCAACCAGTAAAAAACCATCAAAAACCATCTGACAACCGTGCCCAGGAGCATGGTGCTGATTGCGTTGTTCCGCGGGCCGCAAAATGCGAGACGGAGCGTCGTTCTGGTTGGCATCGGCGTGATGCGTCGATGTTGGGCAAGGGACTCACATCGATTTGGACGATGTTCGAGGCAGATCATCGTTCGGAAGCCGAACAACTTCGACAACCGAAAAGCGTCGTTCTTGTTGGAACAAAGTTCTCTCCATGAGGATATCGGCGGGCTCGAACAAAACAAACAGACGAGCTTCGAGACTTGCCCCAGAGTTTTCTGTCCTTTCCTTCCTCTCCCATTTGCGAGGCACATGTTGAGGGTCTCAAAGGGAGCCATCTGGTGTGATATGTCAATCAGATCGACAGTACCAATCCAAGAATGGAATTTCACCATGAACCTCGGCGAAGCAAGTCAGGGATGATCTTCTGGCCTTTCGGCCTTGTCCTTGGTGGCCTTGGTGTTGATGTCAAAGCCCCCAGTGTCTCCACCGCGCTGTTTGGACAATGCCGTGAACGGCTGGGAAGTGAGGAAGCGACGCTCGACTGGGATGTCGACGACGCGACGACGTTGACTCGGGAAGCGACCGAGGTTCTCCTACGTCTCCACGTTTCAAGTGCTGGACCCCAAGGACATGGCCACAAACCTCCGGAAGCAGGTGCCTTCTTCGGTGCCGATGCCACCGTGCGGTGCCCATTCGTTGAAGCAAAGCATTCGCAGCTGTCCGGGCGATGAGTTTCAATATGTTTCAATTGCTCAAGGGGGGCGGGCCTCAAGGCATCCTTGAGTGCCCTCCGACGAACACATCGCATAGAAGTGGGAACCCCCCTGTTCGTTAAGGAAAGTCGTCTTCCAAGGGGCCATGTTCCACTTGCACGTTAGTGAGTCGAGGGGAATACGTCCAAATGAGAATGTCACACTTTCCAGAACCCGAGGAGCACATCTCGTCTGACGATTCTGCAAACGGGACAAGATCCCGAAGTCAAAAGACTGGCCTACCCGGTTTTTGCTGTTTCGATTCCCTTGCCTGCGTCGAATTGACAAACGTTAGATTCTTGCCTGTTCAAACAAGAAGAGACACCTTAGCTATATCATGCTATATCTGGTCCTATTTGAGGAACACGCATCCAACGTCTCCTCAGACAACATACGCTTCAACCTGTTCCGAGTCCCCACCCAGAAGAGACCCCTCTCGCTTCGTCGACGCGAGGCGGCGGCGATCCCCCAAGTGCGGCCGGGCCGCGAGACAGAGGAGTATCTCCGAGAGGCGGGAGGGTCGGTGGTTGAAGACCGAGACGGGAGCTCGGTGGGAGAAACAGAGTCAGGTGGTTCCAAGCCCCCCCTTGGCATTCTGCATGCCCCTTGGCTGGAATAGGTCAGTGATAGGCACAGATTGAGGTTTCATGAAGTTTCATGAAGTTTCCACTGCGAAGCCTCACTTGGGTGTAACGACATGCATGACACCTCACTTGCTTCAAGTGGCCACATGTGGCCACACCACGTGAAACGCTCCAGTGATGCCCCCACTCTTCGTTCGAAGGTCTTGTCTCGCACCTCCATCTTTGGCGCCATCATCTTGGCCTTGCTCTTCGTGTTGCCCAACCTCATTGAGCTCGTGACGTCCGGAGCTCTCAGGTCCTGAACAACGGCAGAGAAGAGCTGAAGGATGCTGAAGAACTCATACAGATGCCCACACACACACACGTGGATCTCTCTGGACTCTCTTTCTCTCTATAATATGTGATTATATGTGTAATTGATTACAAAAGACATATTTAAAATGCATTACTATGGATAAATAAATCTCAACTACGTATATGAAGTACGTAGCTTCATGAGCACCATTGACCACCTCGGCACCGTCTTCCGTGCGCCTCGGCACCTTCGGCACCTCGGCTCCGAGGAAGCTGAGCACCCCGAACTCCTTCGGTGGCACCTCGCTGCTCATCCTCGTGGGTGTGGCCGCCGCCCGGGTCCTCAGGAAGGCGAGAGCGACAGGACATGGGATGAAGGAATGAATGAAGGCAACTGACTTGGATCCAATTGTCAATTCATGTATATAAATTCTATATGATCTTTTTGAGAGTGTCGATGTTCTTCTACTGCAGCATGTCCTGTGGCGTTTCGTCGGGAACAGTTGCAAGCCACCTCCAACGTGTATCTTGACTGCCTGCAGGTAAGATATTCAAGATAGAAGCAGGTTGAGACCCCATTGCTGCCTGATTTGCCTTCATCAACTTTAGCAGAGCCATGTACAACCCCATTGCAGAATGCCCAAGTGCAGGTGTTGCAATGGGCGTTCAGACACTATTGGTATTTTGGACTTGGCTGTAAGAAGGTGGAATTGAATCTGATATAATCTGATTGTGATTGTGCTGCAACAACTGACCAACATCATACTGTTCAAACAAAAACCACACCAAGGTTTCCCTGTCCTGGTCGCACCTCCGGTCCCTTCGGCTCTGTGCCAGGATACCTGGCGACAACTCCAAGCCGAGCTGCTGATGCAGCAGTGCGCCGTCGGTCACGCAGCATGTCGTAGCCACGCAGCGTCATCGCAGCGTCAAACACCTCGGTACACAAACCAATTGAACACACTTGTAAACTCCAACTTGCCGAAAGAAAGCCCAAAACTGCGGTCGTGGAAGAGAAGAGGAAGCAAACCGCGGAAGTAGATATGGTAAAATTCACCACCCCTTCAGCTTTGCGGAAGTGCATATTCTTTCTTCTTGACAATACGGACAATACATGATAATACTAAATGCCTCTACTACCTAACCTATGAGCACCTTTGAGCAATACGTCGTGGAAGTACCGCGGAAGAGGATTTCAACCAAACATGGCCCGCGGAAGCCCCGCGCAAGTATTGGCGGAAGCAAGAAAAAGTATAACAGATCGTAGACCGGTTTTTGACACCGCTCAATGCTGTGGTTAAGACCGTCTGTTTGCACGCACCCCCCAAACCAGGTTTGGAAGACTTAAGGGGTGAATTTTGCTGGTGGCGAGTCCGCTCCAACAGAGCCTCCAACTGGTGCGAATCCAGAATCCTTTTTCACTCCATGTCAGGAATGGCCAATAATCACTGCAGAGGCCACAGTCACAACCCCCAAGAGGTCATATAAACCAACTTTTGGGGATTGTGCCATCTACTCTGAAACCACTATATATGCTTCAAGATTCTCTCTGAAACCACGCCGCACCACCTCGTGGAACCACCGTGGAGGTACTCGACAGATGTGGATCAGTTCTACAAGGGCCGGCGAACCTAAGTCGCTGCACGTCGCTCCATGCGGTCTGCCCGACCGGCCCCAACAGTTGAGCAAAGAGACCGCTGGGATCGGGCTGAAGATGAGCATCGCCGGAAAATGGGAAGACTTCTGCGATGACCCGACAGCATTGTTCCTTTGACACGACATGCAACAAAGCCCACGTTCCTGCAAACCAAGTTGGTGTATTTGTCAACTCTTTTTGTCCAAAGAGAAATAGTTCTGATTCTGATTGTCTGCTTTGGAGATTCAGATGTTATATAATCATTTGATATGTGCAAACCTTGCCGTGACATTCAGAGATTCATCGCGGTGATCATCATGACACGTCTTTCCAATCTGGCTCACTCTCCCTAGATTCTCAGCATCGTGCGGTTTTCGTTTGCCGCGCCGAAGACCTGCAGCAAAACAGACGAGCGAAGAAGACACGAAGACGGGGGGGTGTCTGTTCCGGGAGTGGACTATCATGCAATGCAGGTCGACCGGACATGACCGGACCCGCCGTTGAAACGAAACTGTCCTCTCTGGATCGATCATTGTGTATGTTGATTCTTCATTATTCTTTCCACAGGTAGGTTCTATCATGTTCTATGCTTTTGAGAATGTCCCAGTGATGTTCCAGTGGCTTTCGCGAATGGAGAACAGAGGTCACGACACCTGCGCCCATCAGACGCCCGCCCGAGGGGCGGCGAATCCTTTCTTCGCGACCTCTCAAGGTACATCCTGTGGAGGAGATCTACTTGGAAGACTTGGCCCCGAAGCTCCATAAGCTGGCGCGGGCCCCAGCTCCGTCGTGAGCTTGCGCGCAGGCGCGCGCAGGCGCCTTTTGGCGCCTTTCTTTTCAAAAGAAGGCGCCAATCCATCAGAGAGCGCCACGGACAGAAGCTTTCGACTTCATTCTGTGATGACTATGGCATACTGTGGCTATGGCTACAGAGTTAAAGACTTCAGTTTGAGGATGAGGCACCTTCTCACCCGATTCAGCTCAAAAGAGTTGAGGAGAACATGAGGCACCTGGCACCTATTTTGAGGATCGGGCTTGGTGGAATGATGTGGAATGTGAAAACTATTGAATGTGAAAACGTGTTTTCCAAGGTCTATTCTTATCACAGCACTTGGGTAGTACTACTTGCAGGCTGAATTAGAGCTTTATTTGTCAAAGCAGCAAACTATCGTGCATGGTGTCCACAAAGGACAGCTCTTACCCTTTCCCAAACGTCAAGAGGCTCTTCAATGGGAAAATGGCCCGCCCACACTGAAAAAAGGGGGTTCGCCAATTGACTGCCGAAAGACCGCCCATCTCGGAACCTCCCAGCGAGGGGAGCGGAGGCGGCCCGGGACCGTCCCGAGGGCTACGTGGAGCAGCTGGGGCCGGGCTTCGCGGCCGGTGGGCTAGGCTATGGGAGTCCGGTCGCCAAGGGGTCTTCGATCGAAGCCAGAACCGAAGGGGTGGAGTAAATGGACTGGGTGGAGTGGTGGTTCAAACGAGTTCTTTTGTGTTCAACCTTGGGCCATGATGGATCCCACGGACATATTTATCAAGTGAGTTGATCGATCTTTGGGGATGTCAGATACCCGATTCACACGTGTTCATTCCCAGTTTCATGCCGACTCTCACCTCGATTTATCGAGGATGGGTGGATCTATGGCTGCAGCTGATGAACACATCAGTTGACCACACCGTCCTCCCAAACGAGAAAAACCAACGCGTCCCTCGGTAGGATAGGTGAGCCCAAGCAACCCGGACCCTGGTCGCCTCCCACTTCGCCCAGGCTGGGAGAACAAGGGCCGAGAGAAGTCCTTCAAGTGAGCCATGGGCAGTTCATGGTCGAATTCTTCCAAAGAATGATCCAGATCACCAGTGGTTCCAAAGACAAAATCCCTAGACTGATCAACTCTGGTTCCTTATTTTTTTCTTGTGGTAACTGGAATCCACTCAAAACTGCTTTGATGAGGACCACAAGACTTTGGGGGTGGTGAAAATTTTTAGATATCAAAAGCGTGATGAGGTGGTGTCCTCTGACTATCCGTTTTGGGCAGCAAGTATTCACCAAGGACAAACTATCCGATACAACATCGCTTTCGGTTGCTTTGATTTATTGGCAAAGTGAGCGTGGATTTGATTGGTCTGCTCTCCAAACAAATTCATTCAGACCAAGCAAACTAGTAAGATGCTGATAGCGTTGCAGCATCAGCTAGACATCACAAGCATCCCGAGTCTTTATTTGCAAATGCGTCATCATGGTGTTGTGGTGGTGCAGTGTATTCTTGAGCTCATTCTTTGGATGGTGTTTGATTTGGGAACCACAGAGCGACCGACGGATTTCCGGCGCGCCCGCTTGGACTGGAGCACATCGACCAGGTATCAGGTCCTGGTGAGCCACACGTATGATCCTGACCAGCTTTGTGGCTTTAGCCACTCGGTCAAATCGCTGGGTGTCTTCGCGTCCGGTTTGGACCTCGAGGGGATTCGAGGGGTACGACAAACGAGTTGACGAGTTGGAGCGAGTTGGGAAGCCTTTGGATCACCCAGTCCATGAAGCGATGGCCTCCTACCGAATAGCTTCTTGCTGTCTTGCTCCGTGCGTAGTAAGGCCAGGAGCCCCGTTCGTAGCGTCCGAAAGCTCCGTTCGTAGCGATGCCCGAAATGCTCCGTTCGTAGCGTCTTCGCTCCTTTGTTTGGTCTTCTGGAGGTGTGTCCATCACGGTGTTGTGGAATGGCTTGTGGAATGTCTTGATTCTCGACTTGGAAAAATGCAGCATCCATACAGTCCACGACATCGCGTGTCTTCAATGATGAGGGAAGTATTCTGAGATCCGTTGGTCTGGAATCTCGGCCCTTGCGTAAGCTCCAAGAAAATTATGTTTAGGGACCCTGCGATTAAGACTGAAGCAGTGGATGGGTTCATGGCTTCCCAATCAGTTCCCATCAATCTTATGTTGTAGGCCATCGCTTCTAGGTTGGAAACTTCAGATGGACACAATTTCCCATGGAAGTCTCCCGTAAGTCCTCGAGGTGACTACGCCTGGGAGCCCTTGACAGGAGCACGAAAAGACGAGGCATGGCACCCAACGAAACCGTGTTTCTCTGTGGAGAGCAAGCCTATTCCCCTGAAGAGCAACCGGTCGGTTGTCTAATATTGTTTTTGTAATTGTAATTACGTACAGTATATATATATATTTATTGTATTATATTGTGTGCACAGTTAATTAGCAATTATATACTGTATATACTCATGCATATCCCTGGTTGATCTTTGATTGGACTTCCTGTAGTCTAGTGAATTGAATGAATTTGGAGTTATCATTGACTGAAACCTCACGCACTGGTCTACCTAGCCCACAGCTCAAGACACCAAGCCATGCTGGTGTATCTAGCTTTGTAGACTGGGCTCACTACCTTCAAACAGTCTACAATGCTTTCTCAAGCTCCCACTTAGAGTAGCAGGGCGGCACATTAGGCCCTTGCAAGACTCTTGGTTTGCCTGGAATGTAAGAAGTCCCATGGTACCTTCAATGACCGTGTACTTTCTCAACACCCCAGCCAGATGCCCTACCAGTGCTGCTTTGTCTACTTCTACCAGTGTTGCCAGTGGTGTGTGCCACTGGTGCCTGTGGAAAGCGGCTCCAGGGACTCTTTCTTCATGATGTTTTGCAGCAGACCAAGGTGGGCTGCGCTGGCCAGGGCTTAGGATATGGACCCAGGACATTGTTCAGGTGTTCGAAGGGCTCCATTGGGTGCTCCCATCATCCTGTAGCTCCCGGAAAGGACCTGAAAAAATGACAACTGAGAGAGATCCATTGTGATCGCTGGAATCTTGGGCGACACCCATACATGATTCGCGCCGCTTCACGACCGACACTGCCTGTAAAATGGCGAGGGCATCCAACCATTCGCACTATATATAGGCCATCAACAGCAATTGCTAGACTCGATCGTATATCAATCACACAGTTCCCCATGCACAGTTTGACTGGAGCTTCAAAACATAAGCAAGATGCAAGATATGCTATACAATATGTTTTGCATCATCACTTGATCACCCTAAGGCCCAAAAATATGTGTATTTGCTAAGAAATGCTCACGTGTAGCGGCGCATGCCTAGATGAAACGCTCGGTGTTGGTTGCAGGCTGATTTCAGTTTGTTTTCTTTAAGCTATTTTCGAGGTCAACTTGGCTTGAGCGGTTTGTCACAAGTTTGTCATTCTCAACTCTCACCAGCCTGAGTGCAGGGTGTCCTCTATGACTTCCCGATTATCGAAGCGCTGTTGCCCCTTGGCCAGAAGAGTGCTTCCTTGCCTCCCATGACAGCCTTGGGTCCACATGTCCTACCCCAGGAAAGCTTTTAGAGCTTTCAAAAGGCTTAGGCCTGTGGTCATTCTTCGCCACACCCTTAGCAAAACATCATGTCCTGAGGCTGTGTGGAGCTAGGTTTGCATGCTCCAGTGACCTTTCTTGTTGCCCAAGCTCATGGTGGGTGTGGAGCACTGATCTACAATCTCCAATAAACATCAAACAACTACATGAACAAACATTCGACTCATTACACAGAGTTTCATCCTCTTCTCCTGTGAGGAGCAATAGATATGGTGGTGCCAATCTGAGACAAGAGTGACCAAAGATTCCAAGATATGATTGATCTCCGGACTCTGGAGTTTGGGCTGGATCAGCCGGAATTTCTCGCGCCAGGAGCATGCTGGAGCAGGAATCCCCCAAAAAGGCTGGAAAATCTGGGATGAGTGGGCCTGATCGCAGCTAGATCGGCTTGATCAGGTCGTATGTTGAGCGTCCTGGTATGGATCTTTGGAAGTGGAGCATGGATGGTAGAGTCATTCAAAAAAATTCAGTGAGTAACATAAACATGCAATCAGGTAGCAAACGAGGCCTTGGTCCTTGATTAGAGCTGACTTGTGGCAGTGTTTGTTTTTTGAGGCTGCCTCCGTTTTGATGGTTTCTTGATATATTGGGACATCAATGTGTTTGTATAGCGATGCCCTTGAGAAGAAGTTACAGTTAGAGACACAACCAGCTTTGCAAGACTATTTCACATCCCAACCGTTTTTATATGTGTTTATCATTCTTTCGAAAAATCAATCTGAGTGGACTTTTGACTTTCTGATTTCTCCTTTTTTGGGGAGAGCTGCTTCTCCTTTTTTCCGAGACAACATGCAGCATTGTCACAGATTACAACGTTTCTGACTGATGCAAGACCACCTTGTTAAGGTGACGGGAGTCCTTGTAGCAAGATGCAACACATTCACTGCTACTGACTGACCAAAGTCTTAGGTTGAAGAGGCACAGAGGTACCGAATGGCCGGATGGAATTTCTTAAAGTCGATCCTCAACTGATATAGCCGCAGATGTGAACCAGGGATGAACCAGAGGCGTTTCTTTAAGACGATCCCACTCAGTGATGCCTATGAATCCACTTGGAGGCTGGTAGTTTTTTTGCAGCTCTAAGTAATCCCCGATACCACACACGTTGGAACTGGCTGACTTAACCCATCCCAGTTGCAGGCGCGCAAGCCGAAGAATGGCAAGGGAGGTGCGAGACTGGTGGGCCAACAGATTTTGCAACCTCAGCGGGAACATGCCTAGGTGAGTGAGTGACATGGTTTTTGTCGATTTTTGTCCTTTGCCGTTCCAGAGACGCCAAAGAGCGGCCCGTGTGAGCGTGTTTCTGACAGAGCCAAAAGGACGCCCCAAACTTGGCAAAACAGCGCGGGACATGACAGGACCCTTTATGCCTTTCAGTACAGAGGCTGCAGGTTGTCGCCACCCAGCATCAGCTCTTGGGGAAGTTGAGACTTTTGTCTTGTTCACGGCATGGCCTGTGCCGCTAGATTTGGATGTGTCCAGTGACAATAATTGGCAGCGAGTTTTCTGCCAGTACATTGCCATTCGGAGCCTCAAAGCCCCAAACCAAAAAGGTACCATGATGGAATGCCCATGGCAGAAGCTGCTTCTCGATGGGAAGGTCCTCAATAAGCGTGTGTTTCCACGGGCCCAGCCAGAGCTTTACCTGGGCCTGCCATGCTGAGACAACCTCATAATATATCGCAGCCATGCAGCCCTCGCAAGATCGTGAATACAGTGTCCATTCATGTCCATTCTAGCCTTCACACTGGGGCTCCTTACAATTCGAGATATTTACGTGATCATCAATCATCACATTTTGCGAGGAATCACTTCTATGTTGCCCACCATGTTGCTAAGTATCACTCACCAGCCTTTCTTTAAAGCCATCAAGCTCCACCCCCAGGCGACGAGGGACCCATAAACGCCGGACTCATCAACTGCCAGGGATCTTGATCTTCCTCCCTGGTTGGGACGACATCGACCGGCTGAAGCGCCTCTTGCGGAGTCACGACGTCTTCGGCAGCCGCTGGTTCTGGATCCTGTGCCTCGGCTGGGGTGGAAACAGCTGTGGTGTGGGTGAAGGAGAGAGAAGAACAATGTATTGCAACACAGGTATCGGTATTATATACTGAGATAATTACTGTACAAATAAAAGAACTCAAACACATACACAAATTAACCAATTCAATAACCAATTAAAGGTAAACAAACACATGAACACATATATATATGTTGTGTGTGCGGATATTGGTCTATCATAGTTTGGACACCTGCAGCAGCGCTTGTGCTGCCTTTTCTCGGCACAACAGGGGCTAGTATTTTGTGATATTTCGTGTATACTGTAGCAGTTGTGACCATACATTTCTTGAAACGTGCTTCCGACAGGGTGGCTATATGTGGCTATTTTCACACAGGATGCTGGACGGGGTGAGTTCCCTTTAAAGATTTTAAAGCCGCTCCCGTTAGTGAATTCTTGGGCCAATAAGGGCCAGGGTTCAGTGTTGATTCGGGTTTGCCAATGGCCGCACATCGCCCTCGACCACAACCGACCGCCAACGACCACCGGTCGCTCCACCCGGCGAAGATCTGAGGCCGCTGCATTCGCAGATCCGCTTGGAGCAGCAAAAGGAGGCGGGGCAACGAGGGGCAACGAGCGTCGCTTTCGCCTGGGACGCTTGCTTTCGTGTGGTGGTGGGTCGGTTTTCTGGCGAAACGGGCGAAGAAAGTCATGCAGGGAAACATGTCATGCAGCATGGACTGGATTGTTTCTATGTTTTGGTGCTTCGCTTAGACTGGATGACTGACACTTGATTGTGGTGCGGTCAAAGATGTCGAAGAAACACATCCGGAAGTGAGCAAGAGTTGTGGATTTTCTCGTTCTCTTTTCCAGTTCCAAATTGTTTTCCTGGAGTAGATGGAAGCTGAAACGCTTATTCCCCCAACAATCCTTCCACACCCACACACACCCAACCTGATCCGCCTCTTTTTCACATTCCACTTCACAGACCCCGGAACTCTCTCGCCGGCAGAATTCGAGCCGTTTCGAGTTCAAAAACGGCAGGTCTTCCAAGTTCCTCCACCCGGTGCCAGGAAGCCCAGCTGAGCCCACCGTGTCCAAACGCAATTTCATCGTCGTTTCATGGGCGCCAGCATGGCAGTTGTAGGCATTTGTAGGCAGTCGGAAGTGCGCAAGATTTGTTTCTACATGAAATCTTGAAGCATGTTCTTTTGGACGTTGTCAGGGAGTTTTGGCAGCTGCTGGTCCGTTGTGTTAGTTTCCTATTCAGAAGTGCGTACGTGAACAAGATCTTGTCTTGGCGTGAACCGTGTCCTCTCCTGTCCTGATCTACCTGATCTAAGCAATCAAATTTGCGGCAGCCTTAGCCATAATTGCACAATATCGCACAGTTTGTTTGCTTGGCAAACCACCTTGGTGACTGCTTCTTGTTCACCTGGCAGCGATGCTGTGAATCCAGGAGGTTAAATAGCGTGCAAGGGTTTCGGGTTTTGGATCAATCGGCGTTGCTGCACAGGAAGTTCTTTCCACCAAGCGGAGCATGATTTAAGATGCTCACGTGCAAAGAACTCCTAGTTTCCAAGAACCCCTTGGCGTAAAGCTTAAGAATTGTTTGCAAAGGTTTTGCACCGCAAGGGCAGCCTTATCCATTGGTGGATAAGGTTGGGTGATCAGCATAGAGTTGGTAAGGAACTGGGGCTCAGATTTTAGATGGTTTTAGCTACGCCATCTTGAATCAGTTGGCTTGAGCAGCACTCCTGTCGTGGTTGCGCCGCAACAAACAGCGGAGTAGAGGTACGTGCAGTGTGTAAATAGGTCGGTGAGTTCCACTTCAATGAACCTTTGTGCTTTCCAGGTGAGAAAGATTGTGTTGAGCACGAACATTGCAGAAACGGCACTGACCATCGACGACATTGAGACGGTGATTGACTGTGGCCGTGCCAAGGCGGGACACCCTTGAGCCGTGTCGCTTGTGCCTTCTTTTGGGGTGGCCAATGTGCCGATATCGAGCGGGAACGGCATCGGGAGTGGCACGAGTGCCCAGCTAAGCAAGGACAATGAATATGGATCTCACTAGCTTCACTAGATCTCACGGGCGCCCTTGCTTTACAATTCGTATGACAAGACAATGTGCAGTAAACATCAGTAAAACCATTATGAGTTATAAGTATATCATATGGTATGTATGTCATTATATCTCTCTCTGTGCTTTGTTTGCCCTCATAAACTTTGCTTCTCACGTAGGTGTATCGCATGTAGGTGTATCGCCTGATATGATGTGATCCCTCAAAAGTCAAACATGGTTTGGACAAGAACCACATGTCATTTGAAGCAATTTTTGGGTTTGCAATCTCTGCGATGCCACTTATCTTGCAAGTTTTCATAGTCAATGGGCTGGCCCTTGGGATGACGCACCAGGAGACCAGCTATGATGCCTTCCTGCGAGTGTGTGGGCACTAAGTTCGACCTTAGCCAGGACTGTTCCTTCGCAGGTCTTTCACAGTTTCGTGTAGTCTTGGGGTACTGCAGCACGATCTTGTAGATCTCCCATTCAAACGTTCCCAGTAATCAGGGCCGTAGGGCCCATCCCAGATGGAGGGCGAGAGGGCAGGATTCCCTCGCGCTCGACCGATCCCACGCGAGCTTCGACCCTTGGACGGACGCTCCAAATGGCCAACACGCTGCTCGTGGAACCTTTGCAACATGGCTCTGATTATATAGCAGGCGATGTACGGCATGTGGATCAAGTAGAGAGGCACGCAGGAATTTGGGGCATGGCATTCTAGTATGTTCCAAGAAAGGCTTGGAGTGCCCATGCATTTTCAATCGTTTTCACATCGACTGAACATCCATGGGACGCGCAATGGTTGAGACTCGCAGACCAGTGCTGTACCACCCAAGTGATTCCAATGTATTCGATTGAGATTGAGAGAAAAAACCCATCGACAGACAAAGAGCTTCCCTTGTGTTCATTGCAGCAATGGTACCCTCCCAAAATTCTCCCTCAAAGCCAGCTGCGCCGATGTTCCGGCGTTTCCAGCTGCGCCGAAACGGCGCTCCGAGTGCCGAAACGGCCGACCAGGCCGACCCTGAACACCTCCTGGATCTCCAAAGCCTCCGCTCGTCAGCGGGCCGGCCGGGCGGGCCGGACCGCGTCCGGGTGCCTCGGAACGCCCACGGTGTCTGGACCCCAAAGAAAGATGTTCAAAGCGAAAAGAGGACCGGAGGATCGCCATGGTCAAGTCCATAGAGTTCAGTGTTTTGTTTATTTCATTTTATTTCTATTTTTTGTTTCTGCGGGCGATATACAGGCGGAAACTGACATCGTTCGTTCGGTGCTTGTACACCGAGATTCCGATACCGACAAAACAAGGCGAAGTCATGGGGAAACATGCAGCTGACAGACCAGATGCTGCACCACCTGAATCCAATTGAGCAATTTTGATGGATTTTACTTTAGTAACAAGGACGCTACTAGGAGCAAAGGGCATCGCTACTAGGAGCAAGGATGCTACTGGGGGATCCTGGCCTTACTACTAGGAACTAGAAGCTACTATTAATTTCGGTTGACAAGGCGCGCCAAGGGTAAGATAAGATTGAGGACTTCTGTGGCCAGGGAATTCTTGGAAGTCAATGAAGACGATCGCCGATCACCATCACCCTCCGTGTCCAGGCTGTAACACCAGTGTTTTCAATCTTAAATAGGCCCAAGTTGTTCAGAGCCGAATTCATGTGTTGATGAAAAAAAGGTAGTACTCACCCAAATCACTCCGGTCTTGCGTTCAGGAGACCCTTGAAGAAAGTCGATGAAATACCTACATAGCAGCGTCCTTGCTACTAGTAGAATTGCCCTTTGTTACTAGTAGCTTCTTGTTCCTAGTAGTAATGCCAGGAGCTACGTTCGTAGCGTCCTTGCTACCGGTTGCACTCAGAAGACTCAGCTTTTTTGCATTTGCGTCACTTGCTGCGCACGGAACCGCACTTGCTGCGCTGGCATCACTCAGCGTCGAGCGGCAAACCACGAGTGTTTCCGCATTGTAAAGAACCGGCTGACGAACGGGACATCCGGGCTCGGGTCCCATGCCTAGACTCATGCGGGGCCCATGGCTGGTGGCAATGGCCCTGCACTTAAAAAGCAAGAGAGTTGAAGCGACCAGCTCAAGAGCAGCGACCAGCGACCAGTGGTCAAGAGGCCATTGCTGGACATGAAGACCACGGTCATCCATGGTCTAGTTTAAGATTCATTTCAGTGCCGAGGGTCGATTCTGGGATGGTAACCAAATGGAAGGTCCTCGAACTTCAGCTGAGGTTCCTAGTTTATTGTGCAAGGAATGGAGCGACCTTTACAGTAGGTTTGTCCAGCATGGTTACAATGGTTTGTCTCAGTGTGTGACTTTGAGGCCCTCTTGCCTGTAGCTGCGTGACCTTGCTGCAAATTGCGCTTTTGCACAGAAGACCACGCTGCATCTGGTAGAAGCAGGTCCTCCCTTTTTGGGGGTCCGAGTGTCCAGTTTGTTGTATGGCGTTCCCTGTTTTGATGGGGTATAGTTATTAGGAACAACAAGCCTCATGAGCCCAAGAAACCCACCCTCGGAGTGTTTGGTGCGATGCCGGACGACACACGTGTGCCACAAAAGCTCCCAGTTCGGCTCAGCTTCATACGCGACTGTGAAAGACTTGAAGCAGTGCATAGACCTAATATTGTGACATTATGACTCCACTTCTACAAACCTAGGAGTTACATGGGGTTTTTTGTTCCATTGGTATGTACTGTAGGGATCTGTAGGGTACTGGTATGTGCGATATGCCTCGCGGGCAGGAATTGCAGGACTGGACAATTTGTTTGAGACAATGGTTTTCATGCACTGTTGCAACCACCTTCCTACCCTCAGACCTCCAGTTGCGGACTCTGTCAATCCGTTTACCTTATACCCCTTATCACGCCGCACCCGGGACCAGGCAGACCACCAAGGGCACGGCGAAAATGCCGGACGTTGGAGAGATGCTCAACTTCCATGGACGAACGCGAGAACTCCTAAATTTCCCAGTGAAGCGATTCCTAAGGAAAGGAGCAAGGACGCTACTAGGGGCTCCTGGCATCGCTACTAGGAATAAGGAGGCTACTAGGGGATCCTGGCCTTACTACTAGTAACAAGAAGCTATTGGAAAAAATAAATAAAAGAAGCTTACTAGACGTTACTAGAAAGCTTTATTGTTACTAGTAGCCATGGCCTCCAACCTAATAGCGATGGCCTCCACCTAGTATAGCTTCTAGTTACTATCCTCCGTTCTTCTCGGGTGCATGCTCCTCAATGCTCCGCATACATGCTCCGCAAATGAAGAGGTGTCAAAAATGACCAACTCAGGAATGGCCCGGACGACTTGAAAGCCTTAGTCTCGGCCTTGATTCTCAACTGCCTCCTAGTTCTTTGCCGGAGCCTCAGTGGGTCCTGAAATCAGTGGACTTGATGGTGACACAGAGTCAATGTTTGAGACGTGTTTGCATTGTGTTGGCAGAAGCGGGTTGTGACTTTTGCGCGAAGACACGAAGACACGCGAAGACACCAAGACCCGAAGACACGCGAAGACACGAAGACACGCGAAGACACGAAGACCCGAAGACACGCGAAGACCCGAAGGCACGAAGACACGCGAAGACACGAAGACACGCGAAGACACGAAGACACGCGAATACACGAAGACACGAAGAGGCTTCAGGTCTTCAAGGCTTCAGGTAGTCACCAGGCTTCAGGTCTTCAAGGCTTCAGGTCGTCACCAGGCTTCAGGCCTTCAAGGCTTCAGGTCGTCACTGGGCTTCAGGTCTTCAAGGCTTCAGGTCGTCACCAGGCTTCAGGTCTTCAAGGCTTCAGGTCGTCACCAGGCTTCAGGTCTTCA